GTGACACACATATGCCAACGCCTTTGCTGGAAGCTCCGCCGCTGAGGTAAACCATGTCACCGTTTGGCGAAAATAAGATCTCTTCCGGATCACTGCGCCAAGTTTCGCTCAAAAACACAATGTCAAAATCCATTTGATCAAGCTCATTTCAAAAGTCCTCACATCTTGATGTCTCCCGAATACTCGGTACATTTTTCGTCACCAAATGCAATTCTATGAACTCAAAGCGATCATCATTGGCTTTGGCTGCACGCTTATCAGGAGCAACCCTCCGTTGGTGCAAAGCCTTCCCTGCATCCTACTCCATGTCAGCAATGAACTGCTCCATTGCCGTCTTGATGGGGTCACTTGCTATGTTGTATTGCCAGTGGCAATAATTATGTCGTGTTGCCAAAGGGACGGTACACAGGAATACGAGCGGCATAACTTTAAAAATTGAAGGATTGCATGCTGCCACCATGGGATGTCAGTACACAGTGCCTTGCACAAAAAAAATGTTGTCACAACCAGAGGACTTCTCCGGCGCACGTTGCCGCAGAGCAGCCTGCAGCCCTTCGCGGGTGAAAAGGGGAATCAAGATGGCTGCGAGTGGCATGTGGTGCCCCCCGTCTTTCAAGGATGCGACGCACGCGACCATGATGCCGTTGTGCAATTGCATTGGTTTTTTCCCGAGTGCTCAGCAGAAGGGTTCCCGTTTTAAGGTTGGGGTCCAGGGGTCCAAGACCAGGAGGTGACCAAAAATCGTGGCGTTTGTGTCCGCAAGCATCCGCAAAACGTTCGCAAACATTCGCGGGTGTCGCACATCGATGGCACTCGAAATGCTTGCGAGACGCGGACGTGTCGTTACAAAACTGTCACCAGTCACAGGGAGTGGTCGCGAAACGCAGAACTATCGTCATTTGCGGACTTGCGTTTGGTCATCGCATCTCAGTCTCAGAAATGTCAACGGTCACAGAGGGCCGGGGAGGGGGGGGGGGGTGGCATTCCTGGTTGTGAAACACACAACTGCCGTCACTTTTTGGACCTCGCGTTACAGAAGTGTCAACACAAGGATGGGGGGGGGTCTTGGTCGTGGAACGCAGGACCATCATCACCCTTGGACTTGCTGCATGTGCCCGCGCGCAGCTGCTCCAATTGTGCGTCGCCGTTTCCACCGAAACTCATGCCGAGTTGCCCCGCGTCTGTCGCCAAGTGCGCCAGCTACACCACACGACCGAGATGATTGCGCGCGCCAATGGCGTCAGCATTTTCAAGAAGCAAGCTCCCGGAGTGCTGACTCCTATCATCGACATCAAACACCTTTTTGCTATTAAGCCTGGCGCCGGGGTAGCTTGATGTTGGGGGCACCATCCTCGGCAGCAGAGTAACAAAATGTGATCGTGCTTGGCCAAATGACCTTGAAACCTTTCAGGAAGAACGAAAATTGTTTCTTTTGCTGAAATCCTAGCCTTGTATGGGTTCCTGGCACGAAACTTGCAAGAAAACCAGAACCAAGGATTTCAACCGGGCATCCTCCAAGTCGTAGGTTGAACATGTTGTGTGGGCAGGGGTGCTCTGCCAGAGACGTTCAGGGGATCCAGGGGAGTTCGTTGCCCGAACATGTGGATGAGGCTCGAGGAATCACAGCGACGTTGTGCAGCGTGGCAGCCTCAGTTAACGGCACGTTGCGAAGAACCAGCCAACAACCAGAATTCATTCACGCACACGCGTATTGATGCAGGTTTGAGCGAGCTGGTGTGCCCGGCCCAAGCCTCAGATGGCTTGGAAAGGGCAACGCGCAGTTGTATTTGTAGCTTGTGGACCGCTTGTGGTCAGAGGCGGCCGCGTGAATCACCTCGCAGAGAACACGGATCTGCGGAGACAGTGCGCGGCCAATTCCTAAGAAACACCTTTGTGCACCTGACATGTGCAAACGGTCCAGGATTAGCGCTTGCAGCGTAGAGTTGGAGAAGCTTCGCCACGAGAATGACAGTTCGGAACCCGGGCGCATCTGGGAAATTCTTCCGCCACGTCAAGTCAAAGTATTTCCTTGTATGTGATATGCCGTTGTTCAAGCAGAATATGCACGTGCGCCGTGTCAAAATTGTTTTGCACCTCGGACGTGTGTGAAGGGTCGAATTGTGGCATCGCAAAATTTCAGGACACTAGTTCAACCGAGCTGTTTTCATATTAGCCTTTGAAGCGTGCCTTTTCCTTTGTGTGGCGAAGGTCTCCGAGCTCACAGGAAGACATCGCAACAGGCCAGGGCCAAACGGTTTCTTCTTGGATACGGATGAGAGACAGCAAACCATTGGATTCGAGAATTGCCAGCAGCAACAGCAACAATTTGTTAGTACAGCTTTTTACACTACGACGTACTTGTCCTTATGTCCCACAGACAGTTGCGAGCTTCCAGGGCGCGCAATAGTTTGTACTATCCCTATTCCTAGATTCCTTGTGGGCTCCGGTTTTGGATAAATTCCACATTATTGCACGGACATTTTGTTCATCAAGCTCTTCGGTAGTTGTGCTGAGCATTGCGGCATTATCAAATGCCCTTTGGATTCAGCCTTGGCCTTTTTCTTTACATCCCTTGTACGAAATAGCCTCAAGGTTATCCCAATTCAACACTGGAAACCTGGTCGAAAGCATGTGATCCCCCCCGCAAAGAACTAAAAATATGCCAAACTTCATGCCAAGTTCAACCCACAAGTGCTTAAACGTTTTCGCGTCCATTTCATGCCAAAATAATGGCAGAATCTTTCTTCATGGATGGTCAAGCGTTCAGGTGATGCAGCAGTTACACGCCGAACACGACGAGCAGAGCCCTGAGTCAACCTGCAGATTCTAAGGGATTCTGTTGCCCCATTTCCGACTGGAAACGCATTTTTTTTTGCTGTGGGGTCTGATAGCTGGTGCCATACATGCCCTTGTGTCAACGGAGGCTTTGAGTGAGTGAATGGGGATTCTCGGGGCTGCTTTTTCAGCGACAGCATAGCCTAGCACCCACTTATTTTGGGGTGTGCAAGTGCATGTCACACGAATGTGGAAAACATGCAAAATTTACGGAAAGTTGAACATCCAGGCTTGGTTGCTACGGACGAACGGAAATTTGACAATTTGATCTAAGGAATTTGTCCTTCCCACCCCATATTCTATTTACTCAAGGGGGACTATAGCCCCAATATATACACTATTATAATATGGTAGTTTTCATTTTCTTTTCCACTATCCCTATATACCCCTAAGCCCTTATCTGATGTATGGTTTGGGTCAGAGAAATTGGCTTCCAAGGCTGCAGGACGCACACTCTCGACTGCGAGAAGCGCACCAGCAGAGTCGCGAGCTTACTTGTCATTGCCAAGTTTAAGGCTGAGGGATAGAATATGAGGTATGTAATTTGGGTTCTATAGGGATAAATGAAAAGAAAATGGGGAACTACTATTTTGTAAGAGTTTATATGTTGGGGTTATAGTCCCGTTAAGTAGATAGAAGGTGGGGTATACGGGGGTCTGATTATAATCCGCCCAGAGCCATGTGCTATCTACTGAAGGGGGACTTTAGGGTTTTGGTTAATGCGGGCTGCTGTTAAAGACCTTCAAATAAGTTACTCGTACCATGATACGGCGTCTTCTACAGCCACCCAGTAATGGCCTGCTAGGTCCCTGTGGTAAACAATGCTTTGCCGTTTTGTTTTGTGGTTTTGCTGGTAGCTTTGTTTGGATTCGTCCATGGCACCTTGTCTGGGCAAGAATCCCCTTAAACCCTATACAATTCCTGTACATCCCCACATCTCCCTGCATGCCCCATGTTTCTTTTTATCATCAATATAGGACATATGAGCCTTAATCTAAACTCCTTAAAGGGGGTTATATAGGGGACTACTATAAGGGTTACTAAGGGGGATACTAGGAGTTTAGACTATAGCTCATATGTGTCCAAACGCGTTGGGCATCCTGGCACGGCCTTTTTTGGGGGCTTCCGTAAATTTGGGATCCTTTCTTGGGGGTACTTGTAATGAGAATTATAGCTTTTGGATCTTTTTGGGGTCTATATTGAAGTCCCGCAAATTGCACAAATTGCCTGCTTGTCTTGTGGTAGACTGGATGTTGGCATGTGGAGGCACAACGGAGCGAGGGCGCTTCGAGGACTTGCACAGCATAAGCCTTAGCAGTAGGACCCGCTGTGACGATGGAGGTCTCATCTTGTGAGACCTAACGTGCTGATGCTTGTTGAGGCCAGGAGCGTGAACATCGGCAGAGGTTGGAGCACCGCACCGAGCACACTAGAACAACGCAGTCTCCGTGTTCTTCAAGCTCATGGGTCGTGTTGCTTTTCATTTGGATTTCAGTCGACATAAATAGGGGGACCCAGAACAAAGTGCCCATGTGGTCGTGCTGATGGCAAATTCACTGTGGCTCAGACTTCCTCAGCAGCAGCTTGTCACGCTGGCAATGAGGTTCATGATGCTAACAGTTGGTGGAGGGATGGTAAAGCCAAGCCACGCATCTGCGCTAAGGAAAGTCCTTAGAAGGCTAGAATGACAGTGATGAAGCTTTAGCAACAGGAAATGAGACAGGCACTATCAGTCGAGCAGGGATTAGCGCTTTCAGGACTTGTCAGGACATGATTGTTATTGCAAATCATGGGGGGCGGTGTTTGGGCTATCGTAGCCGATCTTCAGCTCCTAGACGCCCCGCACGAGTGAACTTAGCAGCAGATTTGAGTTGAACCTTCAGCACTTGCTGCCACATGGTAGTTTCCAGAAGTCGGGGACCCCAATATAGATTCAAAATATTATGATCCTTCCATTTTAATTCCCGATTTCGTTTTCCATCTAATTCTCAAACCAGGTTATATCCCTCTAGACTCCTATAAAATCCTTAAGAAGTGCCCTAGACCTCTAACACCTTATTCTGGGAAACCCTAAGCCTTAGATATCCCGATAATATCCTGATATAAGGCCCTTTTTGCCTCTTTGAAGGGGCCAAATCTTCAGAGCCATGGACGAAGCTCGAGCCATGTTGGATGCCCTGATGGGGCCAAGCCGGAATCAGATCAGCAAAGACTCGGAGACCCCCGACTTTGCTGATGAGAAGGCAAGTTAAGGGTGTAGGGTGTAGAGAATGTAGGGTTTAGGGTGTGGGGTTTAGGGTTTAAGGTTGAGGGTATAGGGTTTAGGGTTGGGGTTCTAGATACTATCGCCCCAACCGGCAAGCCTTTGAAAGAAGACCTGGGGGAGCTCGGGAAAACTCCAAACGAGGGGCTGTGGCAGGTCAATGCTCCATTTGAGCCAGCCCCAAACCCTGCACAAGAAGCCTGAAGTCACAAGAAACTTCAAGATGCCCGGGGCCGTGTAGCCCTAGCCTCTACTGCTAAACCCTCATCTACTTACGGTCCTAACCTCCACAACCAACCTCAAAACCAGACTTGGCACTGCTGTGTGGAGTACCTATACTATACTATAGTATACTTTAATATACTATACTATAGTATACTTTAATATGCTATGCTATACTATGCTATACTATACTATACTATACTCTACTAGAATAATGGAGAGGTTTGCAAGAATTTCTTGGTGGGCTTTTGCCCGCACGACTGGTTCACATCATCGAGGCGAAAGATGCCAACCTGCAACTGAAAGCTCAAATTACGGCCTCATGAGCCCTAGCCTAAACTCCTTAAAGGGGTTTATATAGCGGATTATGTAGGGGACTACTATGAGGGTTATAAAGGGGGCTACCAGGGGTTTAGACAGTAGGTTTCATGGCCTAGAGTAGCGAATACCATGGAAGAGAAAAAGGGAAAATGAAATGGACATCTAGTTTTACAGGTTTCTTGGCTTCTGCGGATTTAGGGTTTGCTCAGTCCAACCTCCCAAATTAGGACCCTGTTATGATTATATGATAGTATATTATCGGGTCCTGTTTTTGGGTACATAATCGGTATAAAAGGCCCCACGATAAAGGTCTCATAGGTTTTTAGATGTTTCATTGCGGCCTTAACCCTGAACCCTGAACCCTTAGCCCATGGGACTGCTTTTCTTGGAGAAATAGGTCCGATAAACCCTAAACCTCAAACCCTGAACGCTCAAGCCTAGACAAAGGCCAGCAGCCCAAGACTTATCTGGGTAGGCTCCTGGGCTAGTATGGGTGTTTCCCCAAATTAGGGGCATCGTTTTGGGGATCCTCATAGTCAGGATTATCCCCCTATTTTGCGAAACTACTATATACCTTTTTTCGAATGGCTTTAGTAGGGGACCCTCTACGAATTTTATTCAAAGGGTTTTAGGAGCCAACCCAGTTGCAATCATAAGATACGGAACCCCCGTAATGGAGGATTGAGTGGGGAAGAACATGGACAATACATTGGACATTGGAAAGTTATAGTGGTTTGCAGGGATAAGGGTTTCCAAAACATAGGGTTCTATTCCCGGTGTCTTGCAGTATAAGGATTACATTATATTGGAGTCCATTTCGGGCTGTTCATAGAACCCACCATTTATAGTCTATAGGACCTAGGGTTGTTGTTGAATAGCATTCCTGAGCTTTTGGTGTGCCTGAACCCAGTATAGAATCATATAGAATCAAAGTGGTCATGCTTAGTAGCCCCCAGCTTTATTATGTCCCTCTAGTCTACGTAAAGAGGGATGGTGAATGCTTTAAGTCATTCACCCTTGATAGACCTAGCCAACCGTTGGCTAATCCTTTTCGCTCAACAGTAAGCACCCGGGTGTACCAGGGTAGGTTACCCTGACCCCTCACCTTGAAAAAGCCCTCAAACCCAACACCTTCAACACTCTCAAAAAACCCCAGCCTGAAGCCCTAAACCCTTGACCTAAATCACAACCCCCAAACCGTAAGCCTAAATCCCAAACCCTAGATTTGAATCTCTGAACCTAATTTCAAATCCCAAAGCCCCAACTCACGAACCCCAAGCTTTAAGCCTAAATCCCAAAGCTCCAGCTCAGGCAACAAGATCCACTCCGAAGTGCTTCGGGATGCTTTTGAAGCCCATCCAGAGGTTACTAGGTGCTTGGGCTATTGCTTAGGGTTTGGGGTTTAGGATTTAGGGTAAATCAGGGGATATGGATCTATGTTGGGTTTCATAGAGGGGAGTATGTAGGGGTTATCTATTTAGGATTAGGCGTTAGGGTTTAGGGCAGGGAATGGAGAATGAAATCGAAAAGAGCACGGAACATAAGTGGAACCAGGAAGACACAAGGTTGGAACATCATCTGGACAATTGGAGAATGACATGGAAGCTGGGGGATTGTAGCGATGTGAAGGGTAGCGATATGAAGGGCTTAGTCTAGGAATTGCTTGCGGGTTGTTCTTAGGGAACAAAGAAATTGAATAACACATGGAAACTATCATTGTGCTGGGAGTTGTATGAGGGCTACTTTAGGAGCTCTCCTCTTTTGGGTTGTTACCTAGGGCTTCGCATGGCGGGTTGCCATGGGATCGCTAGGAAAGCACAGAAACAGGTGGAACTTCATGGAAGGTGGCAGTTTCTCTTACATAGGCATCTTGACCCTCTTCACATCCGGCATTGGAGTGTTGAAGTTCCCAGGTATCGGCGGCAGTTCGAGGAGCAGTTCTTGAAATACCTGGACAAAGTCACGCGCGAGTGTGATATGTTCATTGGCAAGGAGAAGATCAAGTGCCGACCGAAAGGTACTGGTGGTGTTACCACACGAATGCCACCGGATGTGCAGGAGAAGTACGATGCTCTCAAAAAGGAGCATCAGAAATTGGTCAAAGAAGCGGAAGAGGTGGCGGATGAATCCCTCAGCCGCAGCAAGGAGTTGACCCAAAGAGCTGTAGATGTTGAGCTGGACATAAGCGATTACGAGAAACGATATCGCTTCGAATATCCAGGAGAGGAAGTTTGTGATGTGTGCGGCGTTCGCTATGCTTCACAAAAAGAGGATAACCCAGATTGGCACGAGCGCGCATCGCACCTGAATGGCAAAATGCACCACGGCTGGCTGCAGATCCGCCAGAAGCTGCAAGAGCTGCGAGAGAAGGAGCGTGTCTGGGAGAGAGAGGACTATCAACAGGAGCAGAAGAAGGGTGCGGACCGGAAGCTATCTCATTGTTGAGTGACAGTTTTGCACCTGCAGGCATCCAAAGAAGCACCAATTTCCTCGATTGGGGAACATTCCATAACCACATTACGTAAGGTCCGTAGTATGACTTAAAGTGCATTCTTCATTTGTAAGAATTTTGGTGCTCGACTGGGACCCAGGAAAGCAAGAAGCAAAGAGAAGGGCAGCAAGACAGGCAAAGCCAAACGTGACCGCGCCCCGAGTAAGTCGTCCAAGCGGTCGAAGCGTAGGAGGCCCCGGACGCCAATCAGCTGACTGGTGCTTCTGTAGGCCAATACAGGGCTTGTAGGGAGTATATAGGGTTCAGGCTATGTTACCCTAGTGAGAGGAGAATCAAATGGAAAAGAAGCTGGAAGATGAACTGGAAATGAGGGCTATGTAGGGCTTGTAAGGGTAGATAAGGAAATCCTAGGCTTAGTAAGTCAGCAGGTTGAGGCTAGTGAATTTAGTTGTTGCATAAGAGGAACGTTTTTTTCTGGCGGTACTGGTGCTCTGAATTTTTAGTCCTGAGCCCAAGCTTCCCAGACCCGAAAGCCCCCAAACCCCCAAACTAAGACCCTAAACCCCAAACAAAAAAATCCAAGCCCACCAAAACTGTACGACTCCGTAATTCCAAACTTTAAGCAGGAGGAGGCGATCCAGTTCCGACGCCTCGAAGCGCAAGACGCGGAAGTCGCGGGAGAGGGGCGGCAAGAAGAAATCCAAGCGAAAGCGCTCCAGTTCCAGCTGACTTGGGATTCTAAAAAAAGTCCCCCCAGGGAACCACAGGTTATGGGAGGATATTATGGAGGTCATTTCGGGATCATTTTGAGAAACTCCAGCTTGGACATCTCTTGAGTAGTGGGGTCCCAGTATCGCTGTTGTCAGCATTCTTGCTGCTAGTGATGTATTCCTTTGCAACAGGACTGCCCAAAACCCACAACTCCTTATGCTAGGCCCTCTAGTCCAACTGAAGTGTGCGGCCAAAGACAGCTGGAAAAAAGAGTGGAGGCAGAGGATGGGCAGATTCAGTGTCGCGCAGCAAGTTTGGGGTGTTCTACGATCATGCTCCGCGCTTTTGGGGAGGCCAAAGGCTTTCATTGTTGTTCCTAGAGCAAAGCGGGGAGTAGAGTACCATCGAGTAACCAAAGAGGATGTTCGTTCAAACTTGGGAAGCCCCAAATGAATGCAAACCTTGAAGAGTTGCTGGGAGAAATGCGATGTGCCTGGAAATCCTCCTGTTGGCATACTCAACCCGCCCCTGGTTCGGTTCTATTTTAGGGGTCTTGACTGCTGCTCCTGCTTCTACTGCTGCTACTGATTCCTGCTACGGCTACTGCTACTGCTA